GTGTCTGGCTGCTGTGTGCAGCTATGCTGTCCGTAGCCTTTTTTTCGCTTCCGGGGTCTGTCGTAGGGGGGGGGGGTGAGCATATATATATATATATATATATTTGGCTGCACCCCGGTGGGCGCCTTGGCACCGCCTCCCATCCCGCCCCCCCACTGCGTGTGGGTGTGGGTTGGTTTAAGGAGGGTCTTAGGGGTTCAGGGCTTAAAGTCTAGGATTAGCATGAAATTTTGACGGTTCTAGGGTTTTAGGGGGGGATGGGGGGTGGGCAGCTGGCCCCTTCCCCCCCCCCCCCCCCATCCGCCGGGGGGGGGGGTTTGGGCGTTAAGGCCTTAGGGTTTGTAGGGCTTGGATTTCTTTAGTGTTTTTTGGCACACTTCTCGATTTGCGCGTGTCATTTTTTGGTTTTAGGCTTTAGGGGCTTCAGGGTTTAGGCTTAAGGTCTAAAGCTTAGGTAGGCTTTAGGGCTATGGCGATACTGTTTTGGGTTTGAAGATCGAAAATTGTAAAATTTAAGGCTTTGCGTTTCCCAGGACAGCTCATTCCGCAAAGGGCCAACAAGATCTTCTGGAGCAAGAAACGTGGCTACTGACGAATCTCACACATGGCTTTCGCAGGGGCCGCTCGAAGCGATCAACCTCCAAGCAGCGTCCTCCGCCCACTTGGAAACACGAGCAATCTAGGTATGGCCATCCCGCGTGAAAAACAATCCCTGGTGATCTGGCAAACTAGTGCTTGAGATGCTCCAGCGCCGCCTCCAGGGACAGCGAGGGTGGAGATGGCACTTTGGACTTCACAGATTCTGCCTCGTCATAGCAATCGTGAGCTACCTAGTAGAGGACTCAGGAGGGCAATGAGGGACTTGACAGCCTCCTTGCCAATTTGCCAAACAAAGTTGGACTCAACATAAGTGCCAGCACCCTTCAGCACTCATATCCTCGCACCGGCAAGGGGTTGGCATGTCTCCTCTCTGTAACAGAGATCTCCTGACGCCAAACCTCAATGGCAGAGCCGCTTTCGTGACAAGGCTTGCTTGCAGTCTCATTCTTTCGCCCAGCGTTCTTGAGACACAACGTCTCATGAACATACCTGGCTTTGGCAATCTGCCGAGCTTCAAGCACAGACGCAACTTTCACCTTGGTCGTGTTTGGCACGTGCGCTTCTTTTTTGGATCTTGTGCCCAAGTTTGACTTTGGCCGGGATTGGCCGGGATATTTCCTGTTTCTCTCCGTATCAACAAAAATGTAACCTTGCCCAGGCTTTGCAGCCAAGACATTTTTACTGACCACGCACCAATCTTCGTCTTGGAGGGGCAGCTGCGCTGTCACAAAGAATTATCTGGATTGACACCGTCCCGGACGAGCACGCCTTCACGCAGACATCTAACGTGAGGAGCATGAGCATTGTGTTCCAAAACTGTTTTCTGGCGCCGCTAAGAGTTTCTTCACGCTCAATCTGACGCACATCCTCTTGCTCTTGTACAGCGCCTACAGGTATTTGCAAATTTGCATATTTTTGAAATATGTTTTAAAACTTTTCCTTTTGTGTTTTTTGTGCCAGGATGACAGTGACCCCCGCGCAGTCATTCCTGCCGCTTACCCTTCCAATTCTCAGCAGATCTCCTCGATAAAAAAGCCCCCCCCCCCTAGGGCCATGCGCCCCGAGCTCAATCATCTTTGCGTTACAACAATGTTGCGTGCGAGTGGCTGCATCATGATAAGCAGGGAGGCGTCGTGTCCACTTTGGAGGATTCCCGACCCACACCCAATGCCCCTCACCTTGCAGTCGTCAGCACACGGCTCCAAGGTCTGCTCTGGGTCCTCAGCTTCAGCACTCGGAACAATCTTGATGTCAGTGCCTGCGTCTGCCGTGACGCCGCCTGGCGAAATGGCTGCACCGGCTGCCTTGCATAAGTTGTCTTCACAAACGTGTCTTCTCGGCATGGAAAGAGTCATGGCATGTCACGGGAAGATGCGTCAGCTGTTGATACGCGCGTCCGTGGAAATGCTTTGCCCGTGTCATCAGTGCGCAGGGTCCTCGACTGAGGCTGAAGCTCCTCGCGGGCGCGAGTGTCGGACGCGTCTTGTCTAAAACGCATTGTGCTACGGAAGGCTCGTACAAAGTTGGGTCTGACGGATGGATGATTGCTATTATTCTGTTTGGACTCGAGCTGCTCTCCCAGATGCAGCGGAAGTGGCTTGAGCTGGCCCAGCTCTCCCTGCATGCAGAGTGCATCCCAGTTGGATCAGGGTGAGGCGCTTGAAGGCGAGCTCGTGCACCTGCAGCTCCTTTGCCTTGTCTTCCCATGTACAGCCGCAGGGGCCCAGCACGGTGTTGCCAACCGTGCTGTTGCACTTGTGCGCCGCATACACGTCTTGCACGTCCCGCAAGGTGGTTGAGTGCTTCCTGCCAGACACTGTAAGTCTCAAAGACCAGCTCACGGGGGTACCTGGCAAAGAGCCCTTAGGCTGGATCATCCACTCATCGCTTTTTGACGTTTTGGAAAGCGGCTAGGCTAGTCGTAGTTTTCGCTCGGCGAGCTTAGTTCGAGGCAGCAAAGGCACGGGCACCTTAGCATTTCGCCGGGGTGTCATGGGTTTCGGACAGAAAGAAAAAAGAAAGATGACGCACAAATCGCCACATTCTGGCTCAAGCATCATGAGGGGAAAGATGAAAAGGACTTTGAACGGCTCCAATGGAGCAGGTGACTAGGGCTTTGGGGTTAAAAGGGTTTGGGGGTTGTGGTCAGGTTACTTTCAGTGCTTGCATGACGTGTCCTCCATTCTACCGCATATGTCCTACTCGGGTTTAGGGTTTAGGGTTTGGGGTTTAGGGTTTAGGGTTTAGGGCCATCAGACCCGGGCCGCGCTGCCTAGTGGTAGCCCGGCCCCTACTTGGAGGCGAACCCCCCCCCCCCCCCCCAAAAAAAAAAAAGAAAAGTCCGACGCTCCCTGAATTCAGCCTCCTCGCCCTGTCTGTTTTGCCTCTTACACGTCACCCCACTCGCATCGGCAAGCGAAAACAACTTGTGTGCTCCTGCGAAAAAAACTTATAAGCGCTTTTCCTCCTTTATAAAATCCGCAGGCACAGGGTGTTCAGGGTGTACCTTTCCGTTTACATGAGGGTCTCTTCATAATATTGGATTCTTTATAACAAGGTTTTTGGGATGGGATCCTTACTTGCAATGAGCCCGTGCCTGTCGGATCAATGCCGTGCTCATCCGCGATTACCTCCCAGAACTTTGCACCGATTTGGTTCCCGCATTGGCCACCCTGGACGTGCACGAGCTCACGCATGGTGCGTCTGCGACGGGAAGACTCGGGACACGGGAGATGCTGAAGGGGGCTGCTGCCGCCTACTGCTGAACCTTCGACACAGCAGCGTGCAAAACGACTCCAGCACTGCCAAAAGGCAAGAGGGGAGAAGTGCGTTGGACGAAGCCCCGGAAGATTGATGGCTCTGCAATCAAGGTGTTCTGAGCTTTTCATGTCAATTTTTGCTGTCGATGGATGGTCTCTGCTTTGGCGACGTGTCTTTGGCCAGGCCTGTGCCGCCGACCAGCGAGCTAACAAGCTCGAAAAGGATAAGTTGCACGTGAATTTCAGAGCTGTCTACAAAACCAGCTGGCCAGGGGGGGCAACAAGGCCTCACAAAGCCCCCAACCCTCCGCTGCCGTCCTTCTTTCAAAGGCCGGCTGACATAATGGTACGGGAAATCTAAAATCAGCCTAAAATCCAAACGTGGCCGGCGCCTCCAAAATCGGCACAGGATGTCGGCGCCGGCCTAAAGGAAAAAACATCTGACACTGTAGCGACCCTCAGGTCAGCGAGTCGAGCCTGCTGCGCGATGAATGCTGCAGCGACTCAAGCGCGTCTTAGGCGGCGGTCTTCGCGGGCGTCTTGATGACGGGGATGAGGCCACCGGCCACGGCCGCCATGATGGCGGCGGGGATCAGTGCTGCCTGCGCACCCCAGATAGGATGGGTCTCCATGGCCGCCACGCCGCCAAGGCCGAAGAAGAAGATGCCGGCACCGAAGAGGAGGACCTTCAGCAGGGTAGGCGGCTCGGCGCCGTCCGCCTGCGCACGTGCCCACAGACCCAGGCCGACGCCGAAGTCGGTGAGGTAGCCGGTGAAGTGCGTGGTGCAGATCGGCAGGGAGCTGCATCTTCGCGTGATGCCGTTCTGGATGCCCTGCGCAAATGCCCACAGCAGCAGGCACTCGGAGGCGGCATCGTTCGCGACGCCAGCCTCAGCCTTGCAGTAGTGAACCATGCAGCCGAACACGACGGCAAAGGCTGCGGCCAACAAGTTGGGTGAGTAGCGACCCTGGTACACTGCCTCCTGGTCACACTTGCTGTATCCAGCCACGAAGGATCCGGCGCCAAAGGACAGCATCAAGTGAAAGAACTTGGCCCCCCCGTTCAGGATGAGACGTCCCGTGTGGCTGGTGTTGCCGCTCTGGTGCGAGACGGTCATGCCCATGTCGATGATGGCCAGGGCGTTCACGTACCCGGACGCGAAGCAGAGAATGTTCTGGATCATCAGGAAGCTGTTGTAGTCCGCTCGCTTCTCTGCTGGGCCAGCCGCTTGCGGCAGCGCTTTCTCGGTGTAGGCAAAGGCCCCGCACACGGCCATCAGGGCCAGAGACATCAGCAGGGCATGGTCGGCGATGATCTTGGTGAGGCCCGAGGACTCCTCCACGACCGGCGCGCCGCTGAACGCCTGCTGGCCCTGGAAGCTCCAAAGCGCGCACGCGCCCAGAGCCAGGAGGGCGCAGCCGCGCGTGCGGCTGCTCCTGGCGCGAGTGCTCAGCAAGGCCGGCATGCTGTTCTCTGGGGGGGGTTGGCGCGCGCTTGGAAGGCTGAAACGGCAAACGCCTGCAGCACAGCGACAGTACCATCGTGCCATGGCGCCATCTGCGGCAAAGTATGACGCATTTCCAGTGAATCAAAGTACGATGCCCCTTAATCCCCCCCAAGCCCGAAGCAACCAGTCGCACCTCGTGGGCTTCTGGCCTGACAGTTTTGTGGCGGGTGAGGGATGGGGGTTTTTTGTCGGGGAAATGCGAGTTGCCTAAGGTTTGGGGTTTAAGGGCTCAATTCTTTTCGGGCGGAGGACCCCAAGCATAAGGGCTTCCAAGGTCCAGTCTAGGGTTTAGGGTTTATTAGGGTTTAGGGTTTAGGGGGCCCCACACGACTTCAGGACGGCCCTAGTGGGCCCCAAAAAAGCATGCTGCCAAATCCTCGCCTCCCAACGCCCCTTGGAAAACTCTTTTGAGCCCTTAGAACCTTCCACAATGCCCACCACAAAATCGAAAACCCGAGCCAGCCCAGAATTGGGAGGGTTTGTATCACCCTAAACCCTAAACCCTAAACCCTAAACCCTAAACCCTCAACCCTAAATGATTGAGCGCCCTCTGGGGCTCCTCACTGTTTAGGGGTCTGTTGCACAGGGAGATGCACGTTTCATCTCCACTCCGTCTCCCCAAACTGCAGAAAGTCGCTGAGCCCAGTCCCTACCCGCAGCACGTCTTTGGAGAAGGCTACAGGGTTTAGGGTTCCGGGCTTGGGGTTAAGGGTTTAGGGTTTAGGGTTTAGGGCCCAGGGTACAACACGCCCAGCTGTGACCCCCGGACGTGCTCGCCGGCGGTAGGGGTGCCGAGAGCGCCTGTGCTGCAGTTCAGGTTCCCCCGGTGTTTAGGGTTTAGGGTCTAGGGTTTAGGGGGACATACGAAAACCATAAAGCCCAAACCTGAAAAGCCCTTAAACTTCTGAACCCGAGTGGGGGGTTCCCTGAGGACCCAGAGAGCGCAATGCACCCTTTGATTAAGGAATATCGCCTTAATTCATATTAAGGATCCCTATATAATTTGAGGTGCGAGTATGTCCCTTGTTCCTTCTCTAGTGGTATTGGGCTCTTTGGGGAGACCTTTGGTTGAAACAGGGTTAAGGCTTTCAGAGGGTCTTTCACTGGCAACATGGAGAGCACTGGTTTATGGAGACCCTCACCAAGTGGGTCAGGGCGAGGTGCGCTCAGAGTTTGGGGTTTATGCCGGGCCGCACTCAGTCTGCGCCTCACCCAGACTACAACCTCACTACGCATGAAGCCTCCGGTAGAGCCTGCAGTGAGCATGCTTAGAATGTGGCCCGGCATAGGGCTTGGGCTTCATCTTAATTCCAGAGTTCATAAGCCCACTAAAAAGGGTACACTTTCAGGTCTAAAAGGGATTATAGTAGCCCAAAAAGTGTAAAGTGTGCTCATTCAGCTACTAAGAAATTACTTTACTCTCGTTGACATAGACTGACATCACATACTTTGAAATACTAGGGGCGAAGAAAGGGCCCTTTAGAAGCAGCCCGTGAGTCGAGCCGCCTTAAACGAACCGACTAAACACGCCCTAAACCCTAAACCCTAAACCCTAAACCCTAAACCCTAAACCCTAAACCCTATCCCCTTAACCCTAAACCCTAAACCGAGGCCCCCCCCAAAATCCATGGCTTCCCGAAGCCAGCCTCTGGGCTGCCCCTCAAGTCAGCTTCAGAGCCGGCCTGTCTGGCTCGCTGGTGGGTTTAGGGTTTAGGGTTATAGGGTTATAGGGTTTAGGGTTTAGGGTTATAGGGTTACAGGGTTATAGGGTTATAGGGTTATAGGGTTATAGGGTTATAGGGTTATAGGGTTATAGGGTTATAGGGTTATAGGGTTTAGGGTTATAGGGTTATAGGGTTTAGGGTTTAGGGTTATAGGGTTTTAGGGTTTTAGGGTTATAGGGTTATAGGCTTTTAGGGTTATGGGGTTATAGGGTTATAGGGTTATAGGGTTTAGGGTTTAGGGTTTTAGGGTTTTAGGGTTTTAGGTTTTAGGGTTTAGGGTTTAGGGTTTAGGGTTTAGGGTTAGGGTTTAGGGCAAAGCGGTTCTTATGCTCTCCCTTGCGGCGTCTTCGGTTTTCTTGGAAGTTTTCAGGCTGCACCGGCAGGGATCATTGAGGGGGTCGACTCTGCCCCAAACCCTAAACCCTGAACCCTAAACCTTTTTTTCCTCCCTAAAGCACGCCCCCAACGCCCCTAAACGCTACCCTTGGCTGGCCCTTGAAACACATCCTGAGAAGAACCCTCAATGAGCCCAGTGCTCCTCCAAACCGAAATTGGGAAACGTAAAACATCCGGGCCCTAAAACCCAATCCCTAAACCCTAAACCCTGAACCCCAAACCCTAAAACCGAAACCCGCCACCCTGCAAGCAGAACAGCCTACCTGGCAACCCACACCCAGCCTCCGCCGAGTCGCGCAAGATCCGGGGCCTCATCTTTCAGGATGTAGGGTTTAAGGTTTCGGATTTAGGGCTTAAGGTTCAAGGTTCGGGGTTTAAGGTCTATGAAGGCTGTGGATCGCCGCTCATGCGGCTCTTCTTGAAGTGACGGCGTGCTGCGGGGTGAGTTCCGAACTTTGGGATCCTACAATGGTGACCCGCAGAGAGCTTTAGGATGTTCTAAGGGGCTTTGGGTGTTCTAGGGATGAGGCTGCTTGTAGTGTTCGGCATGTGAAAGATACCAGCGCTTGTTTTGGCCGTCCAGGGAGGGTCTGCAGGTTGCGACGTGTCTTTGGCCAGGCCTGTGCCGCCGACCAGCGAGCATAAGCTCGCACAGGATGAGAGCTGTCTACACAAACACGCGGCCAGGGGGGGGGCAACAAGGCCTCACAAAGCCCCCCGAAACCGCCGCTGCCGTCCTTCTGTCAAAGGCTGGCATAATGGTACGGGAAATTTTAAACGTGGCCGGTGCCTCCAAAATCGGCACAGGATGTCAGCACCGGCCGCCCTAAAGGAAAAACTGTGACACTGTGGCGACCCTGGCAACTGCTCAACGAGCCAAGCCTGCTGCGCGATCAGATCAAAGCTGCAGCGACTCAAGCGCGTCTTAGGCGGCGGTCTTCGCGGGCGTCTTGATGACGGGGATGAGGCCACCGGCCACTGCCGCCATGATGGCGGCGGGGATCAGTGCTGCCTGCGCGCCCCAGATTGGATGGGTCTCCATGGCCGCCACGCCGCCAAGGCCGAAGAAGAAGATGCCGGCACCGAAGAGGAGGACCTTCAGCAGGGTAGGCGGCTCGGCGCCGTCCGCCTGCGCACGTGCCCACAGACCCAGGCCGACGCCGAAGTCGGTGAGGTAGCCGGTGAAGTGCGTGGTGCAGATCGGCAGGGAGCTGCATCTTCGTGTGATGCCGTTCTGGATGCCCTGCGCAAAGGCCCACAGCAGCAGGCACTCGGAGGCGGCATCGTTCGCGACGCCAGCCTCAGCCTTGCAGTAGTGAACCATGCAGCCGAACACGACGGCAAACGCTGCGGCCAACAGGTTGGGTGAGTAGCGTCCCTGGTAGACTGCCTCCTGGTCACACTTGCTGTATCCAGCCACGAAGGATCCGGCGCCAAAGGACAGCATCAAGTGAAAGAACTTGGCCCCCCCGTTCAGGATGAGACGTCCCGTGTGGCTGGTGTTGCCGCTCTGGTGCGAGACGGTCATGCCCATGTCGATGATGGCCAGGGCGTTCACGTACCCGGACGCGAAGCAGAGAATGTTCTGGATCATCAGGAAGCTGTTGTAGTCCGCTCGCTTCTCTGCTGGACCTGCTGCTTGCGGCAGCGCTTTCTCGGTGTACGCAAAGGCCCCGCACACAGCCATCAGGGCCAGAGACATCAGCAGGGCATGGTCGGCGATGATCTTGGTGAGGCCCGAGGACTCCTCCACGACCGGCGCGCCGCTGAACGCCTGCTGCCCCTGGAAGCTCCACAGCGCGCACGCGCCCAGAGCCAGGAGGGCGCAGCCGCGCGCGCGGCTGCTCCTGGCGCGAGTGCTCAGCAATGCCGGCATGCTGTTCTGTGGGGGGGTTGGTGCGCACTTGGAAGGCTGAACCGGCAAACGCCTGCAGCACAATGGAACAACAGCTTACAGCGGCGTGGCAGGATCTACGGGGCACAATGCTTAACCGGCAAGATCGCCGCGAGAAATTGCCCGGAGAGCAATGTGATCATTCCTCATATAAAAACTTCTTCTCATTGAGCTATGCTGGAAGAGCCATCAGGCCACCATGACACCCTTTTTTGTCTTCCACTTGCTCGCTGCCAACGCGCACACATGGCACACCACGTGAGGCCCCCGAGAGGGCTGGCGATGGGGAGATCATGGGTATGAACCTCAAAGGCTGTAGGGTGGCTAGGGGCTCCGAGTAAGCTTGAAGGGACAGTTACTGGCAGGCCTGCAGGCTACCGATGGCTTCCGAAGAAATTTGGGAAGTCTTCGATGCCGAATTCGGGCTCAACAGGCCATGGTCAGCTGTGCTCACAGCTCAGCCGTCTCAGCCGTCGTACTCGCCTTCCTCTTCGTCAAACTCGCCTTCCTCTTCGGCAGTGGCATCCTGGTATTGCTGGTACTCAGACACCAGATCGTTCATGTTGGACTCGGCTTCTGTGAACTCCATCTCGTCCATGCCTGTAGCCCGCAAGCCGCCGAATGCTTATGGCCCTATGGCTGCATGGTCTCTACTTGCTAGCAAACTGTGCCAGATTCACATGGGACTCTTTCATCAACGCCGTGCCCCGTTTCTTGGGACCTGCCTTCACCAGTGTACCAGTGCAAGAAGGCTTTGCGGCGGAACATGGCCGTGAAGTACTCCGCCACGCGCTTGAACATCTCCTGGATGGCCGTGGAGTTTCCAGCGAAGGCCACCGCCATCTTGAGGCCCTTGCCAGGGATCCAGCATTGAAAAAAAAGGCCCCCCAAAGAAGTCCCCTTCTACATCCCCCCCCTTCACATGAACACTTCGGCACGCCCAAGAACTAAGCCTCTGCTTGTCCGGCCTTGGGCGGGATGTCGCAAACAGATGCCTTGATGTTGTTGGGAATCCACTCCTGGCGGTCACGGATTGCCGACGCGTGTGTGCTCACAATTGCATGCAGGACAACGGGGTGGGATGTCGCCGCACAAGTACTTGGCCCTGACACCATTTCCCAAGCTCAAAAGTTCCAATCTGTTCACTCAACACTCGTTGGACAGGCAAGGCTCCACGAAGTAGGACGAGTTCTTGTTTTGGACGTTCAGCATCTGCTCATCCACCTGCAGGTCTGTAAGTGAAGCAAGATGACACGGTCTTCACTCATGAAAGATCATGCGCGCATCGTGCGCGCCACAAGCCTGCTTCGCTCTTCGACTGGTGTGTGCAAAGCGCAACCGAGGCCTCCTTTGTCGACATGCGGCCGCGGAAGAGGGCGGCAGCTGTCAGGTAGCGCCCGTGGCGTGGGTCCGCCGCGCACATCATGTTCTTTGCATCGAACCTGGGTGGTTCTGCTGACGGAGCAGAGAGCAGAACAGTAGCATGCATCTTAAACGCTAATTATTCTGTAGAAAACAATTGCAAAAACAACATGGGACTCGAGCCAAGATGCATCTGCTGAGTGAGCTCCGGCACCGTGAGGGCGCGGTACTGCTGGGAGCCGCGGGAGGTGAGGGGAGCGAAGCCAGTCATGAAGAAGTGCAGGCGCGGGAAGGGCACCAAGTTCACGGCGATCTTGCGCAGGTCGCAGTTCAGCTGGCCGGGGAATCGCAGGCAGCAAGTCACGCCGCTCATCGCAGCTGAGACCAAGTGGTTCAAGTCTCCATACGTAGGTGTCGTCAACTTCAACGTCCTGAAACAAATATCATACAGCGCTTCGTTGTCCAGCAAGAAGGACTCGTCGGAGTTCTCCACGAGCTGGTGGAAGCTCAACACTGCATTGTACGGCTCCACCACCGTGTCCGACACCTTCGGAGACGGAATCACGGAGAAGGTCTCCATGATGCGATCAGGATACCTGAAGGAGCGTGGCATCTGCAGGCGTGACGATGACAGTGACAGAACCTTCAATGAAACGCGGGTGTGAGAAAGGCAGCTGGGTCACTCCTCACGCACTTTGGAGATAAGGAGAGTGCCCATGCCAGCTCCGGTGCCACCTCCAAGCGAATGGCAGAGCTGGAATCCTTGAAGGCAATCGCAGCCTTCGGCCTATGGGAGAGCACATGGGTGACTCGAGGCGGGCGTTTAAAGGTTTGAAGGGCTAGGGAGTTCCTTTTCGGGTTCGTTCAGCCACCGCCTCTTTGCGCACCACGTCCAAGACAGAGTCGATCAGTTCCGCACCCTCGGTGTAGTGGCCCTGCGGCCGGGTGTTTTCTTCCGGAAAGCTTGTTGAATCTTAATGACACTATGAACTGAACGTTGTCAACGCATGCACTGCAGCCCACCTTAGCCCAGTTGTTGCCTGCGCCTGTTTGACCAAACACAAAGTTGTCCGGGCGAAAGAGCTGACCGAAAGGTCCGGCACGCACGCTGTCCATGGTTCCTGGCGACAGCACCAGATGGAAAGCAACGAGTTCAAAACGTTTGGGAGTCGCAGCTTGCCGTGGTTAAGACACCCCGTATCCTGGCTCGAGATCCATCAGCACAGCCCGCGGAACGTAGCGTCCGCCAGTAGCTTCGTTGAAGTAGACATTGATTCGTTCAAGCTGAAGGTCAGAGTCCCCGTGATAGGTGCCTGTCAAGTTGACCCCGTTTAACGACTTCTGCACACTGCGGGGGATGATGGAGGCCTAAGACGTGAAGTGGTCCGGGCGAACACTGTGAGCCTCTGCATGTTCATGCTCTACAAAAGACTATGGTTCTGGACTTCTGAAAGCAACTCAGGCCAGAATACGTTTTCATAGTTGCTGAGCCCTACCTACATCGACATGCGGACCTGCATTCCGAGTCTAGTCTCCATGGCCAGGCGTGCACCACAAGCGAAAAATCTTGGAACATCTAGGCCTTCTTTCAAAAAAGGACGAAAACGCAGACCCCCTCTGTGTACCTTTCTGTTTGAATCTGTGACCCCTCTGAATCAAACACATGTAGCTGCCCTTCACTCGCACAAACAACCCGCCCGTGCCTGTCGGATCAATGCCGTGCTCATCCGCGATTACCTCCCAGAACTTTGCACCGATTTGGTTCCCGCATTGGCCACCCTGGACGTGCACGAGCTCACGCATGGTGCGGCTGCGATGGGAAGAGTCGGGACACGGGAGATGCTGAAGGCTGCTGCCGCCTACTGCTGAACCTTCGACACAGCAGCGTGCAAAACGACTCAAGCACTGCCCAAAGTCAAGATGCGATGGACGAAGCCCGTGAAGATTGATGGCTCTGCAAGCAAGGGCTTTTCATTTTGGCTGTCGAGGGATGGTCTGCTGGTTGCAACGTGTCTTTGGCCAGGCCTGTGCCGCCGACCAGCGAGCATAAGCTC